ACACGCACACACACACACACGCACACACGCACACACACACACACACGCACACGCACACACGCACACACGCACACACGCACACACGCACACACGCAAACACGCACACGCACACGCACACACACGCACACACACACACACACACGCACACACGCACACACGCACACACACACACACACACACACACCCAAGGGCGCCACAGCGTGCCGATGCCGCCCTGGGGCAGCGCCCGGGAGGCGCGCCAGGGCCCCACCGTGGACCTCGCGAGCGCGGGCGCGGAAGGGCGCCGGGCGTCGTGGGGTCGCGGCGAAGGACCCAGACTGGGGAGGTTCGGTGATAGATCGGCGGCGAGCGAGGGGGGGAAATGAGAAGGAGAAGGCCCTTATCAGAACGCTCGGAAGTCCCACGGCCTTCTGAACAGTTTTCTGAGCATACCTCGAACTCTTAAACAACTCTCAGAAGGCCAGAGGGCTTCTGAGAAGTCCCGCCGCCTTCTGAGAAGGCCTTCTCCTTCTCATTTCCCCCCCTCGCTCGCCGCCGAATAGAAGTTCCCTGGAGCGGTGACAGACCCCGCGGTGATCTAAGAATCCACAAGGACCTCACCACACGGTCTGTCACATCGCGGTTGTGGGACCTCAATTTTAAGTCGGGCATGTCCCCCTGTAGGCGGATTTTGGATGAAAAATAAAAGAATTTACAAGAAATGCTCCACAATTGTAAAACAAATAGTCGAAACATCGTCCCCAGACTGCTGTCCTACTATTTTTACCTAACAGCGTTTGCTGATAGGTTTCTAGTGGTGTCAAAAGAAAGCATCATGACTCCTCAGGGGGGTCTGGGCGGGTGCCGGGGAGGAGAACCGGGAACATAACCGCGAACAGAGCCGGGCTCGCTTTTCGCAAACAGTCACACACTTCGTGCTCTTCGACCTCCCAGAACTCCATTCCCGGGCCACATTCTGGATGCCCGGAGCCAACTGTAGGCCACTTCGTGCTCTTCGACTTCCCAGAACCCCATTCCAGGGCCACATTTTGGATACCCGGAGCCAACTGTAGGCCATTTCGTGCTCTTGGACTTCCCAGAACACCATTCCTGGGCCACATTTTGAATACCCGGAGCCAACTGTAGGCCACTTGTTGCTCTTCCACTTCCCAGAACTCCACTCCCGGGCCACTGTTGCTGCTGCTAGTGTAGCTATTGCTATTGCAACTACTGGCAGTGCCACTGCGACTGCCGCTGATGTTGCCACTGCGACTGCCACTGCGAATCCGAATGCCAGGCTGAGGCTGAGGCAGGCTGAGGCTGAGGCCGAGGCCGACGGCAGACTGAGGCTGAAGGCTGAGGCAGAGGCAGGCTGAGGCTGAGGCTGATGCTGAGGCAGGCTGAGGCTGAGGCTGAGGCTGATGCAGGCTGAGGCTGAGGCAGGCTGAGGCTGAGGCCGAGGCTGAAGGCAGACTGAGGCTGAGGCTGAAGCAGGCTGAGGCTGAGGCTGAGGCAGGCTGAGGCTGAGGCTGAGGCAGGCTGATGCTGAGGCAGGCTGAGGCTGAGGCTGAGGCTGATGCAGGCTGAGGCTGAGGCAGGCTGAGGCTGAGGCCGAGGCTGAAGGCAGACTGAGGCTGAGGCTGAAGCAGGCTGAGGCTGAGGCTGAGGCAGGCTGAGGCTGAGGCTGAGGCTGAGGCTGATGCTGAGGCTGGCTGATGCTGAGGCAGGCTGAGGCTGAGGCTGATGCAGGCTGAGGCTGAGGCAGGCTGAGGCTGAGGCCGAGGCTGAAGGCAGACTGAGGCTGAGGCTGAAGCAGGCTGAGGCTGAGGCAGAGGCAGGCTGAGGCTGAGGCTGAGGCTGATGCTGAGGCAGGCTGAGGCTGAGGCTGAGGCTGATGCAGGCTGAGGCTGAGGCAGGCGAGGCTGAGGCCGAGGCTGAAGGCAGACTGAGGCTGAGGCTGAAGCAGGCTGAGGCCTGAGGCTGAGGCAGGCTGAGGCTGAGGCTGATGCAGGCTGAGGCTGAGGCAGGCTGAGGCTGAGGCTGAGGCTGATGCGGGCTGAGGCTGAGGCAGGCTGAGCCTGAGGCCGAGGCTGAAGGCAGACTGATGCTGAGGCTGAAGCAGGCTGAGGCTGAGGCTGAGGCAGGCTGAGGCTGAGGCTGGCTGAGGCTGAGGCTGAGGCAGGCTGAGGCTGAGGCTGTGACTGCGACTGCCGTTGCCACTGCGACTGTCATCGCGAATGCGACTACGACTGCGAGAACAGCAGAATTCTACAACTGGTTTCCCATCCGAATCTTAAGGGGAATGCTTCCAGATATGCTCCTACACATCGCTGTTAGGTTGCTTTGCCGGGATAATTGAATATTCCCCCTGTAGAGGGACAGGCCCGCCTTAAGGATACACGTCGTTCATTTCTAATCGTGCTCATTTCTAATTATGCTCGTTTCTGATTCTTAATGGCCCCCTAAGGGCCAGGAAAAGGCCCAGGATAGAACAACTAGAAATGATAGCATTTTGGCCCCCCAGAACTTAAAGAACTCTCGAATAATCAAAAATGAACAATGTGTAAACTTTCGACGCTCCGCGCGGCTCTCGTGGATCTGCGCTGGGGCCCCCGCCCTGGCGCGCCGGAGGCGCCGCCAGCGGGAGGGGGGTCCCGGCGCCGATCCGAGCAATCCGCGCGGAGCATCGAAAGTTTGTGTGTGCTTCGCCGCTTGTTCGTCTTCGACCCTCGCCCGGCCCGAGAAGCCGCCGCGGGGACAGACCCGTGCGGTGGCCCAAGACTTCACTCGGGGATGGACAGACCCCCCTTTAGTAAAACGTGGTTTAGTGAAAACGACCTGAGGCCCAACCTGGCGGGCGCAAAACTGGAAAATGATGGCCGCGGCGCCCTCTCGAGAACCGAAAACGGACAATTCACTAATCGGCGTGTCAGGGTAGGAGGTCTATCAACCTCCGATCCACGGAGACCTCGCCGCGCGGCCTGCCGCCCCGCGGGCCTGCGTGGGGCCGCGGAGTGCCCCGGGGGCGCCCGGGGAGAGCGGCCCCGGCCCCCGAGCCATGCAGCCACCCCCCGTGCTCGGGGCGGGCGTGCCATCCTGCAGGGGCGTTTTGGACGAAAAACCAGGAGTGGCCCACGAAAAGTACTCCAAACTGGTCAGACGCAGCCGAAGGATATACTCCCCAGACCGTTGCTGGACTGTGTTTTGGAGTACTCCTCCTGTAGAGGGGCGTGCCCGCATTGACCCACGTCCCAGAACCATGCGGTCACCCCTTACTCCCACCGGCTCACCACACGGTGTGGTCACCGCACCGCTGCGGGCCCCCCGAGGACCACCGAGCATCGGATTGATCAAAACGTTTCTGGGGCTCCCGCTGCCACGGCAGGACGCAGCTCGAACAACTGACACCCCAGCACGCTTCCAGGGGTCGGCCTTCGCTCCCCAGACTGGGACCCCCTCGCGTCGTGGAAAACAAGACAAACCGTTGTGGTTTGGCGAGTTTCGGCCTTGCCGGGGCCGGGGGCCGTCAACAAAAGTTGCTCGGGCTCAGGATGAAAGGCCTGTCCCCAGAGGGTCGGGACCTGCGAGAGTCCACGGTGCGAGCATACCAACGTCGGAGGACCTCTCGCGATGTTCTCGGACGGTTCTGGCTCTTCTCAGGCTTTCCAAGGACCTCTGCCTCAAGGAGCACCCCAGGGCCCCAGGGTTCCCTTGAGCCCGCTTGGCGTCCGAGCCCGATCGGCCGCCGGAGGGGCAACCGAAGGGGCTCAAGTCCACCAGCATGGTGGGAAGCATGGTGGGAATTGGGCTCGCTCGACATCCGCATGAACTCAGACGCCGAAAAAAACTTCTGAAGCCGGAAAGGAGCCGGGGCAGTATCAGGATGCCCCCTCTGGGCCCATGGGCTTTTCAAGCACAGCCTGCGGCATGGAATCCACACGAAAGACGGAGTCCACGGTTCCAGAATCCCACGCATGTAAGGAATATCAAGTCTGAGGTATGGGGCCGCTCCCAAAAAGAGTGGACTTGCAATACGCTGCTGTTGGACGCGCAGGCCTCCGACGTACATTAGGAGCCGAGCTCCCGGGACACTTTTTTTGTCTACCAGCACAAGAGCGCCCATAGGCAGAGCTCAAAGAAAACAAAAGACGCACAGAAGATACGACGAGGTTCGGAGGGCGCGGGGAGGAGGGGAGAGGGGAGAGGGTAGGGCGCAAACAAACCTACCTCGCGTTTGACCACCCTCGCTTCCAAGAGATACCAAGCGACGCCAAACTACGGCATGCGCTGGTCAGGCCGCTTGACCAGGAGGCGCGTGGTATGACTTGGAAGCGAAAGCGGGGTAGGTAATTCACGCTCTGAGAGGGGGACGGACGCGCGCGTCGCGCATCCGGGCCCTCAGGAGGCCACCCAGAGCTCGACCTCAGCCCAGCCCAGCCGGGCCTCGGGCCCCACCGGCCAGCCCGCGCGGAGGGCGCCCGCCCGCGCCGCGCACGCTCGGGCCGCCGACGCCCGCTCGATGATGACCCGCTGGCGACCCTCTGCGGCGGCGAATGACCCGCTGGCGACCCTCTGCGGCAGGGATCGCCGCGCCGGCCTCCAGAAGCCGGGCCCGCGCCTCGCGGAGGCCCCGCCCGCGCACGGCGATCCGCAGCTCTGGCGCGGGCGCTCGCGCCGCCCCCCCCCCTGCCCGCAAGGCATCCAAGCCCCTGCGCAGCGCCTGCAGGACCAGCTCCCTGGGCACCCCGCCAGCATCCCGCCCATCGCCCTCCGCCCGCGTGGAAGCGATGGGGGTGGGTACTGATGGGCCTGCTTTCCACCACCACCACCACAAGTTGGAGGAGGAGGAGGAGGAGGAGGAGGAGGAGGAGGAGGAGGAGGAGGACCCCCTCCCCCTCCAACTTATGGTGGCGGTGGTGTAAAGCAGGCCCATCAGCTACGGATCCAGCGCGTCCGCGCCGCCAGCGCCACAGCGCCTCCCTGAGGCGGGGTCTCCGCCTCGGGGCCGTCGCCTCTGAGGCCGCGCCGTGGGGAGGGTCGGAGGCCGCGCCGCCTCCCCGTGGGTGCGCGCAGGCGGCTGCCCGAGGCGGCCCCGCCGCCCCCCGCCAGCCGCGCAAGCGCCGCCCACGACCCAGGCCACTGGGGAGGGCCCGAGGCAGCAGCGCCCCCGCGCGGGGGCTGGCGATAGCCCGAGGTGGCCATGCCGCCTCTCCGCCCACCCCCTCTCGCCAGGAGGAGGAGGAGGAGGAGGAGGAGGAGGAGGAGGAGGAGGAGGAGGAGGAGGAGGAGGATGGGCGGGCGCAGCTTCCACGGCGCCCCTGGCCCCCATGAGCACGCTCAGGAGGTCCAGGGCGCCAGAAGTTCGAGATAATAGTCCCTCGCCGCCGCGCGCTCGCGCGAGGCCGACCCGCCGAGGCGACGAGGGGGGGGCCCCAGGACGGGGAAGCGCAGACAAGCATCCGACCCCCGAGAAGGCAATCCAGGCGGCCAAACACCACCCCCGCGGGGACGAAACCGGGCGCCACGGTAACCGCCAGCGGCCGCCCACCCCCGACGGGGATACGGGTTCGCACCCCGAGTGCGAGCCCGATCCCAGGCGGCGGCCTCCCAAAACCCACGCCAGGGGGCAGCGCGCGCCAGAATTCTGAGGCGGGCCCGCAGGGCCTACGGCCCTCTCTCGCCCGCGCTCGCGCCCGACGACCGCGCGGGCGGCGCCGAAGGCGCGTCCGCCCCGTCCACGCGGAAGAGGCTCTCGCCATCCACGTAGAAAACCTCGGCGAATCGCGGCGAAGCGAGGTAGGCGGCGACGAGCTCGATGTCCAAGCCGAGGCGCTCGAGCTCGCAGACCACCACCCCCGCGTGCACGTCAGCCACGGAGTCCGAGGCCGCGAGCGTCTCGGCGAGTAAATCCTCGACGTCGACCTCGCCGGCGCCCTCGCCGCCATGGACGTCAGTGCCCACGGGCTCCTCGCCCAAGCCCTCGGCGAACTCGAAGCCCACCGCGCTGGTAGCGACGCCCTCGGCGCCATTTGCCTCGAACGTCTCCTCGAAGCCGCACTCGGTCCCGTCGCCGCAGATGGACTCGCACTCGAAGAACTCGAGGCTGACGCCGACGTCGTCAGAGCCCCCGAGCTCCTCCCCCTGGCCCTCGGCGAACTCGAAGCCCACCGAACCGGTTGCGACGCCCACAACGCCCGTGACCACGTACGTCTCCAAGAAATCGCTGTCGGCCCCGTCGCCGTGAAAGGACTCGCACTCGAAGAAAGCGAGGCTGACGTCGTTGACCTGGTCCACAGCCTCAGCGTGGCGATCCGCCAGACGCCATCCTGCAGCCAAGCCCTGCACGAAGATCTCCACCTCCGAACCGGCTGGGTCGGCGGCCTGCCACACACCCGGCGCCAGCGAGCCCTCGACGAAAACCTCGTTCCGACCGCTTGCCTCGGCCCCGAGCCGTGGGCCGTGCTGGGCCCGCCTCGGGTCCCCAGCCGCCGCGGTGGCGGTGCTGGAGAGGTCGCCCGCCGCCGCGTGGAGTGCCACGTTGCGGCGGAGCCGGTCCAGCCACGAATGTCGCCGGCCCCGCGACAAGGCGGCCAATGCAGGCAGCAGCGCCAGCACCAGGTCCGCCACGTCCTTGTCGGCGCAAGGCGTCTCCAACGCGTCGCGGAGTGCCCCCACATCCGACTGAGCGTCCGCGACCTCGGCCTGGAGCTACGCGACCAGCCAGTGAGCCGCGGCCCGTGCCCCAGCGGCCCCGCGGCGGGGGGGCCGAGGGGGAGCACGTCCAGTCGCCGCACGATCCTCCGGGGAAGCAGCAGCGTCCCGCGGCATCATCGGTCCCGCGCGCGCCGAGAACACGGGCGGAACACATGGCATGAGCCAAAATGGCTTGAGCCAAAACGGCTTGAGCCAAAATGGCTACGGAAGGAGGAGGAGGAGGAGGAGGAGGAGGAGGAGGAGGAGGAGGAGGAGGAGGAGGAGAGGAGGAGGAGGAGTCGGAGGCGCAGGAGGAGAGGAGGAGGAGGAGGAGGAGGAGGTGGAGGAGGAGGAGGAGGAGGAGGAGGAGGAGGAGGAGGAGGAGCCGTGGGGAGGGCCGGAGGCAGCTCGTCCTCCGCGAGCGCCGCCCAACTGCGCCAAGGGGGGGGGCGCCCGCCCGGCGGCTGCGACCTGCGAGGCACCGCCTGGCGCCGCCCGGCGCCGGCGCGGCACCGTGGCCACCGCGGCCGCGGCGCCCCCGAGCTCGCGGGGCAGAGCAGACGAAGCAGCTGCTCTCAGCGAGACCACGTCTGGAGAAAGATCAAGCTCTGCTGGAGCAGGTGCCGCCGCAGCCCTTCTTCGTGGAGGCCGCAGCGGCCAACGGTGCCAGAGATCTGCGTCGTGCGCCGTTTCTGGAGTCCCAGTTCTGAGTCGTAGCAAACCGACCCGCCTCTCGCACTGACCCAACTTACTCTTAGGTCGGGCATGGTCCCCTACAGGCAGATCTTGGGCGAAAAGTGAGACGATCCAAAAAAACAAACAGTCTTTAAAACAAATACAGAAATCCTAAAATGAATATTCCTCCCGTACAGGGACACGCCCGCCTTTACTCCGAAGAGGGCGCATCTTCTCTGCCCGCGATGGACGCCCTCAGAATATGCGACAGCGAACTGGTGCCTAGCGTGCCCAGGCCGGCGGGGAGACAAAGCAACCCTTTTACGGCGGCGGAGTCCCAACTGTCGAGAGCACCAGGAGCGCTTTTTTTATTTGTGGCGATACTGGGCATTGTAAGGGGGGGAGGGGCCAAAGGGGGGGGTAATGTAAAGCCTCCCCCCCGCCGTGCGCACGGCGGCAGTGCCCAGAGCGCACTGGGGAGGGAGGGGCGTTACGTTATAGGGGGGGGGGAGGAGGGGGGCCGGGGGCTATAATGCCCATTATGCCCCAAACAATGAAGAAACACGCTCAAGTACTCAGCGTTGTCAACCTCAATCCTTGGTGCGAAAAACTAGTGAGTAACATGCGCGATTTGAAAGACGACGCGCGTGTAATTGACACCCTCTATCCCTCCCGACCTCTGAGGGCGGCGTTCGGAGCGGCGAGAGCGAGCAATACGAGGGCTTCTGACCCCTCCGGGGCCCCAGGCCTGACCGAAAACGGTGCGTTCCACCCACCCAAAAAAGAGAACCCCCCACCCCCAACACCATGAAAATCGCCAGATGCCTCTGCTATCGGGTGCAGTCATCGTGCTATACCATAAGGAGCGCCAAAACAGGAACGAACGGCAACGGCGAGACTTCGCCACGAAGAGGCTCCTCAACCCAGCCCAAAGGAAGGGCCCTAGAATCAGTCCTTCCTCAGCCCGAAGGGGCCCTTGTATAATTTTGACGTCTTAGCTATACCGCCGATGTGGATGCATCTTGCCTCGCTCTCTGTCGACACGCATTTCCGCTGATACGTCTTGCGTGCGCCGGCGAAAGGGCCCTCGTCGAATCGGGCAGGCAACATCGCATCGGCAAACTGTTCCCGCGATCGTCTGGATGGTATGTGTAGTGGTTCGGATACTTAACGCCGATGTTGCATGCAAGTGTGTGTACCATCCTGGTGGCCTCACGAGCGGCGAACGTGTCCATCTCCGCGACCTCGCGGGCTGGACTCCAACATGCGACCAATGCGCGATCGCGTGGACACGTTCCGCGCGGGGCATCCGTGAACCGAACACGTATCCGCGGAGTCGCGGCCCCGAGGCCAGGAACGCAAGGCCGTGCATGCGGATGGACGACGCTCCCGCACGTTGTCTGTTGCAAACGTCTTGTATATCCGTGTAGCAAACGTGTAGCAAACGACATGTAGCAAACGTGTAGCAAGCTCCACTTCGACATGCCGTGCAGTAAACGTCTTGTATATCCAGGGTGCTGCGGAACAGAAGGAGGATCGACGTGCCAGCCCCCTGGCGCTGATCGCGAATCGTGCGACACAGCAACAACAGAGGATGCAGAGGGGCCGAGGCAGCAGCAGCAGGAGGCGGAGTCTTGCGTGGCCAAGGGCGCGATGACGCGGAGAGGGGCGGAACAAACAAGAGAGCACGGTTCCAGAGCTGAGGCTGCGACCAGCCAAAGTCTCCGAGCTTGAGGTGCGCCGTCTCCGACTCCAAGCAGAGGTCTCGCACCCCCCCCCCCGGATTCCCGCAAGCTTGGCACAATCCCGTGTTCCTCCGGGTTTCCAGCTCCTCTTCCTCCCCTAGGGCGGCAAGCCAGGGCGGCTCGCAAGAACATGTGTTCCGCATCGGCCCCCGAAGCATCACACTGTAGCAACCATCGCCAGCGCAACGCAGGCCCTTGATAAGGCCTGGGGGTTGTGCAAAGACAACTCCTCGAAATAGTCCCGACTAGCCTCGGCAGGCCCCCCGGCCAGTCTCGCCACCTCGGCGCCGCTCCCGAACTACTCGGGGGGTCTGTTGAGGCCCACCAGGACTACCTCGAGGGCTGTCTGCTGCCTGTTCACAGCCCAGACCCTTCCCAATGAACCTTTGGTAGAGACACAACAAAAACTACAGTACACCAGAGAGAAACCCAATCACGGGATGGTTTGAAATGGGATCGATCATGGAGATCGACTGGGAACCCGGGAACACCCGGGAACCCGGAACCCACCGAAATCGGCCCAGAACCGATAACCAGGAACCCGGGAACCCGGAACCGGGAACCCGAATCGGCGGGAAACTTTCGCCAACCCTTGCATTACACCAGAGACAACCCCAATCAGTGGATGGTTTGAAAACTAGTGATACGGATACTGGAGAGAGCGTGATCCACCGCCGCTTTACCGTGGAAAATCCCCCCCTCTTCCTCCGGAACCCGGGGATCCCTCCCCCTCTCCCAAAACCCCCCCCCCCTGCTGGACCCCCCCCCCTCCCCCGGCAAAACACTTCCACCTCCCCCTCCCCCCCCCCCTACCCCTCGAAAATCTGGGGGGGGGGTCACTACAGGTTCGAACCCACCCCCCTCGAAAACCGGAGGGGGGTCACTACCGGTTCGAACCCCTCCCCCGCCCCCCTCACCGCCAGCAAACGACTCCCGGTCCCTACCACCGTCCGCACCACATCCCCCACTGTTGTTCCCAGCACCACTGTCCTCACCACCACTGTCCCCACTGGTTCCACCACCGTCCCTACTGTCCCCACCAGTGCCCCCACCACTGTCGCACTGTCCCCACTGTCCCCACCACTGTTCCCACCACGGTTCCACTCTCCCCACTTTCTCCACGGCCCCAACCACTGCCCGACTATCCCCACTGTCCCCACTGTCCCACTGACTCCTCCGCTGTCCCACTGAGCTGTCCCACTGTTCCCACCACTGTCCCCACTGTCCCCACCACTGTCCCCACTGCACCTCTGTCCCATTGTCCCACCGCCGTCCTCGCCACCGCCTTCACCACTGTCACCACCACCTCTGTACCCTCCACTGTCCCACTGTTTCCACCACATTCCCGCTGTCCCCACACCAGTCCCCACCACCACCGTCCCCACCACTGTCCCACTGTCCCCACTGTTCCCACCATTGTCCTGACCACTGTCCCCACCACTACCGTCACCACCACTGTCCCACTGTCCCCACCACTGTCCCACTGTCCCCTCACCACTGTCCCCACCACCACCGTCCCCACCACTGTCCGCACGCCCCCCCAGTTTTCGAGGGGGGGGGGGGGGGTTCGAACCGGTAGTGACCCCCCCCGGTTTTCGAGGGGGGCGGGGGGTGGGGTTTCGAAGCGGCAGTGACCCCCCCCCTTTTCATGATGGAGATGGACTGGGGGGGAGGGGGGGGGAGGGGTTCGAACCGGTAGTGACCCCCCCCCGGTTTTCCGGAGGGGGGGGGGTCGAACCGGTAGTGACCCCCCCCCCCCGTTTTCCGCCAGCAGCGGTAGAACACGCTCTTTCGGATATTGAGATCGATTGTGAGATTGAAAGTGGAATCGATAGTGAGGACGATTTCAAAGTCGATCGTGAGACCGATAGTGAAGTCGATTCAATGAGATCGATAATGAGATTGATCGTGAGATCGCTCGTACGACCTATACTGACATCGATTGTGAGATCGATAGTGAGATCGATAGTGAGATCGATAGAGAAGTGGGTAATGAGATCGATGGTGGGACCGATGGATAAGAAGATCGACCAAGAAAACGAAAACCCGGGAACCCCGCCGCCCACCGAAATCGGCCTGGAATCAAGAACCAGGAACCTGGGAACCCGGAACCGGGAACCTGGGAACCCAACCTGCTACTAAAAAATCGGCTGGAAACTTTCGCCAAGTCCTTCAACTTCCGCTAGGAACCCTTCAGTGCAAGCACTGATTGGGGAACAGACATAAACTGTCAGATGTCCGCGCGGATATCTAGAAGCGGCACTGACCACCCTCCATTTCGCGCGAAGCCCGCCAGGTGCTGCCGCCAGGGAGGGGCCGGCGCAGATCCAAGAAGTCGGCATGGACCTCCGAACGCCTGTGCTCATGATTGTGTCTCCCTCGATGCCACCTCGCCGCGATCGGCAGCCGACGGAGGGGAAGCCCCCCCCCTTCGGGAAGCCCGCCTCCGCACTTCTGCGTCCAGGGGGTGCCCGTAGACGAGGCCCACCGGCGGAGGAGACGGGGGTGGGGGGCGATCGGGCGTCGCACCGCGGGTCCTTGCCCCGCCCGGCGCCGCGGGGCAGGCTCCAAAGGGTCATGTGGTAGCCGAAGGCTACGGCCGACTCGAGTCGCGACGACTCGTCCGTTGGCTTCTGGCACCGCGCAGGACGTTCAACCTTGAAAAATCGCAGCTCTCTGGTAGCGCAGATCGCTATGTCGACCGATTCCAGAGCAGCGGCGGCGTATATTATAAACTTGAACGCCCGCGCCGGTGTCGTCGCCGCGTCTGCACGACACGACACGAACCTAGCGGGGGGGGGGGGGAATGGGGGGAAGGGAGGGGGGATGAAGAGGAACGGGGGGAGGAGGGAGGAAGAGGGAGGGGAGGGTGACTGGGAAAGGAGGGGGGTGGGAGAGGCGGAGCAGGGGGAGAGGGTGTGCATGGCTACAGGAGCACCCTCGACCGCCATGAGTGAGTGAGTGAGTGAGTGAGGGGGAGAAGGGAGGAGAGGGAGGAGGGGAACGAGGAGGGGGGAAGGGGTGATGACCAGAGCAACCAAGAGGGCGGCCGCGGAGGTGGAGGAGGAGGAGGAGGAGGAGGAGGAGGAGGAGGAGGGGGAGGAGGCAAAGCCGAGAGCGTCGGCAAACCGGGGAGGCGCGGGCGGCCTCAGGCACGCGTGCCCTCGCCACGCCTTGTCCTCGTCCTCGTGTCCTCGTCCTAGTCCTCAGCCTCAACGTCGTCCTCTTCCTCGTCGTCGTCCTCCTCTTCCTCCTTCTCAGCGCAGGCGGCTTCAAACGAAGCAGCTAATCAGTGAAGAGCTTGCCACTGAAGAGTGGAACGACCAGGCGAGGGCGCGTTGAACCCACGCCACACGCCAGGGGCGGGTGGTGGGCCTGTTTTCCACCACCACCACCACGAGTTGGATGGGGGGAAGGAGGTGGAGGATGAGGAGGAGGAAGAAGAACAGGGGAGGAGGACCCCCTCCGCCCCTCCAACTTATGGTGGTGGTGGAAAACAAGCCCATCAGCGGGGGCCGCCCGGCGAGGCTCCAGATGCAGAAGCCGTGTTGAGAGGGACACGCGGTCGCTCGGGCATCCAGCCAGGTCAGGCGCTCAGCCTCAGATCTGTGCGGACGGCACAGAAACTCCAGGCCTTGCCGAAGAGCTCGGACTGGAGACCAAAATCGTGCCACCGGCCTCGGATGCAATGCACCCTCCTGTCTCAAATTCCTTCTGTGATGAGTCCCCTGGGACATTCTTTTCCACCGCGGAGGGCGTCCACTTGAAGCACGGGCTCCCCATGAGCAGGTCATTGAGGCTAAAGCTCGGATTAGAAGAAGGACTGATGTCCAACCCTGCAGATTTCAAGAGGTGACAAGGGACACGAACACAAAGCTCAAGGAATGGATCAACTAGAATAGCCTTACGTTGATGACACCGACAGTTCGTGTAGTACTTGACACAAGGAATTGAGGCACTCAATTCGTGTTCACGCTGCGCAAGTTCAAACCATGCCATGAACATTGACGACGCCTCGGGCGATATCAATTCTGGCAAAGAGCCGCTCTTCTACCACACAGCTGCTGCGCGCTGATGAGATCAACGGGCTTCCATGAAAACTGAGGAACGCTTACCCGAGAACACCATGCTTACAAGGATCCGTCCTTCGCTCGTGTAGTTATGCCATGCGCTCATCCCGAGTGTGCGCAACGCCTAGGCAAACCACCCGTTGAAATGGGCCGCACGTCCATCTGTGCAGCCGTGAGCAAGCTTGAACAACGAAAGTGCGCGGCGCCAAGGCGATAACCATATTTTGAAAACGGTTTTCCTCTGCCTTTGGACTATGTGACGACGAATGTGCGCGGCGCCCAAGGAAGAAAGACATTTGGCAACGGCATGGACCCCACCCGCGCAGGAGATGGAAGCCTGAAACGTCCGCATGACACACTGCAAAAGAGTACAAGGCGAACCGCCTGGCACGCCCTAGCGACTCGCCTGGCAGCGCGATGAGCTAGAGCCAAGGAGAAGGTATGCGAAGGAGGACGGGGACAAGGGAGGGGCTGCCAATCAACTCTCCTGGCGACGCATTCCTCCAGGAGGAAGTGACTGAGAAGAAAGGGGAAGGAGAGGAGCACCACCATTCCCACTGAAAGGGCCTTGGGACATACAAAGAAATACACACACACACAAGTAAAAGGCTTCCCCATATTTTCCCATATTTTCTGGGTTTCTGTCTTCCCCCCCACTGCCCATATTTTCTCATATCTTCTGGGGATCGACGATTCAATCGTGTCTGTGCGTTTTTTCCCCTCCCGACCCACACAGCACTCGGCAACCTCCTGCTCGGATGCTGCCTCGATCCTCCCAGCTCCTGCGAGCGAGGCCCACGACGGGACACCGCCCGACCCGCCGGCCGCACCCCGCACCCCTGCGCTGTTGGCTGGCACCGGAACTCGAACACACACAATTTGACGAACGAACAACACACACCCATACCCATAAGGGCGGTCGTTGGGAGGAAGACTCGCTATGGGTATGGGTGCGGGTTGTCGGACCCTGGGGAACGCTCCCGTTCGAGTGGGGACCCCCATCCGACAACACGTACCCATAGCCCTCTCCGACCCCCCTATGGGTACGGGTGTGTGTTGTTGGTTTGTCACAATTGAAGGAGCCCACGAGTAGCGTCTAACCGTAGGACGAGCACAGTATTGAGCGCAGTATTACCAGGGAGTGCCAGCCTGGCGTCCAGAAGTATGAACAAAGACGGCGCCAGGAATTTTGCAGTCGACATCTCTAATCTATAAGAAGGACGGGCGGTAAGACCGCAAGCCTTGGACGCCGAAACTGACACTTTTTGGGCGGCGGGCTGCAAACACTCTGAAGGGCTGGCCAGTGAAAACCGCGAAGGACGGGCCGCAGACGCAAGGACGCAAGGGTACCCTAAGGACATGCGTGCAACCTTATTATGGGCCATGACTCGCAAGAGCCCACAAGACCCCTTTCCTCTGGGACCCATTTCCTTCATCCTGACGCCTACATCCCCGTTCCCGCATCCTCTCTCCCATCCCGAGCCGGCCGAAGAGCAGCATGTTGTCCGGCTTGACGTCCTGGTGCTCCACCCCGCAGCGCTCAAGATGCTCCAGGGCCTGGGCTTCGGGGCCGAGGGAGGGGAGGCGGGAGGCGGATATTGGACGGGTGTTCGCAATGAGAATATCCCGCTCGACCGAGATGCAGCAGCGAACAGGGGACGCGAACGCAACCGAGTCACACACTTTTTGCGTCGGCGGCTGGGCAGAGGTCGACTGCTCCAGCGGAATGGCAACAGAGGACACGCTGTATGCAAAGTAAGGCCGCAATGCACGGGAGGAGGAGGAGCACCGGCGCGACGGGGGAAGAGGAAGCCAGGCCACTCAGAGCTGCCGGCGGCGGCAGCGTCAACCGAGTCACACACACAAACACACATCGCCGCGCGTTCCCCCTGCAGCAGGGGCGGGAGGGCGTCAGCTTTAACGCTGCTGACGAGCGCTCGCAAGCGCTCCCGAGCGCTCGACGGCTCTCGCTATGCCTTCCAAAACTCGTGGCGTCAGTGGCCCGCCGGCGCCACGGGCAAACGCAGGCGCTCGCGTGTGCCCACGGACTCCGGCAGGCGCTCGCGCGCATTCACATGTGCGGACCCACATGTGCCAGCAGCCGATCACGGGTGACCACGACGGCGGGTGGACTAAAAGTGTCCACACGTGTCTCGCTAAGACCTTGAGATAACAAAGCACGTCGGACTAGCATGTATACATGTATACCCCCTTCCCCCAAATCCAAAGGTTGACGGGTGTAGGCGGTAGGCCGCAGGCCAGGGACAAAACGTGGACACTTCAACTTTGGTTTCGGGGGGAGGGGTGCGAAGCAAGGGCATTCCCCAATTGTGGTTGTCACCATGTTGCATCGCCTTACCGCCCTGGGTGTGTGGGCACTTTTTGTCCGGGCACCGGAACGCCAACAAACGTCCATGAGGATGCCTGGCGGATACTTACGCGCGCTCCACAGCCCGCTGTCACTCACAGTCGCTGCCAGGCACTCGCCCACGCGCGCTAACAGGCGGACCAGGTGCGGAGCTCCAGGCGGACCTGGATTCCCATGTGGCGTCCCTCCAAAAGGACATTCAAACAGGGATCGAGTAGGGGATCGACTACAGAATTGATTTGCCCCAGAATTATTCTTTCTTCTCGAACCCACTTGCAATTCGTAGACCTTTCGCAGATCTCAGAATGGTTGACGCATTTCTGCTGAAGCGTCGACGTGAAAATCAATTTCGGGGTGAATGAATTCTGCAGTCGATCCCCCAGTCGAAGGGGAGGTGGCTACTGTTGAACCGCTGCTCGGGAACTGCCTACGTGCACGTCGTTCATTTCTAATCGTGCTCATTTCTGATTGTGCTCGTTTCTAATTGTTCCTGGCCCCCTAGTGGCCAGGAAGAGGCCCAGGATAGAACAATTACCCCAAAAACAAAATTATTCACTGCGTGGAGCTCCCCACATGTGCATCTATTTGCATGGACCTGTCCGCCGTGAATGTCTAGGCGCAAGAGCTTTCGAATATAAGCGGGCTTCAGTTGTGACGGTCTGGACATGAATCTAACTGCGAATGGATTGGAGTGTGAATGAGCCTCAGTAGTACGAGCGCGTCTCTCCACATGAGCCTGGGGCCTCCTGAAACCTACTGGGGCTTCCTGGGGTCTCCAGGAGCCTCTTGGGGCCTCCTAGGACCTCCCAAGGAGGTTTCGTGCCCCAGGAGAGGCCCAATCTATAGCAACAGACGTACATAAAACATTGCGGATTAGAGCCACAGGAGAAGGGCAATCGATGGGAACACACGTAAAACACCGAGGACTCGTGCCCCAGGAGAGGCCCAATATATATATATATATATATATATATATAGGAACATCAACAAAACACTTAGGATTGTGTACACCGGGGAAGGACAATCTATAGACACATACGTATAACATCAAGGAATCGTGCTCCAGGTGAGGCCCAATCGATAGGAGCATACGTAAAACACATGGGATTGGAGCCACTCCTGTTGCCTTCTGAGGCCTCCTGCTCCTGGGGCCTCTCGGGGCCTCCTGTTGCCTTCCGAAGCCTCCTGGCGCTTCCTGTTGCCTCCTGGGGCCTCCTGTGGCTTCCTGAAGCCTTCTGGAGCTTCCTGGGGCCTCCTGGAGCCTCTTGGGACATCATGTGGCCTCTTGAATCTTTCTGTGGCCTCCTGATGCCTCCTGGGACCTCATGTGGTTTCCTGGGGCCTCCTGGAGCCTGTTGGAGCCTCCTGTGGCATCCCGAGAAAAATCTGCGCCCACGAGCCTGGCCACCAAAACAAGCAAACCGATCGAGACATCCTCAACATCTGGCCCACCTGGGGGGTGAAAATGAGCGCCTCGCTCGAGACATCCTCCAAATCTGCTCCGACAGCGAAGGATGTTGGGACAGAACACAAACAAACCGCTTAAGACATTCCCACAAAACGGCCGCGAACGGGACCGCGAAAACACCCCTGGCGGCCCCCCTTGGGGATGCTGAAACCAGCGCCCCGCCTGAGACATCCTCACAGTCTGCTCGGATAACCACGGATGTTGGGACAGAAAACAAGCAAACCGCCTGAGACATCCCCACACAATTGCTGCGAACGGGACCGTGAAAACACCCCTGGCGGCTCCCCTTAGGGGGGCTGAAGCCAGCCCCCCGCCTGCGACATCCTCACAATCTGCTGCGTGTGTGGAATAAATCAGACAATGAAAAGGTCTGAGTACGAGCGGGTCTGAGTATGAGTAAGTCTGGGAACAAGTCTGAGTATTAGTTAGTCTGGGCATGAGTGAGTCTCAGCATGAGTAACTCTCAGTAGGAGTAGGCCTGAATATGAGTAGGTCTGATTATGAGTAAGTTTGTGTCTGATTAAGTCTGGGTATGAGTACATCTGAGTGTGAGTAAGTCTGGGTATGAGGAAGAGGAGAAAGAGAAGAGGGAGAAAAAGGAGTAGGAGGCGTCCAAGTAATACAAATTACTCGACGCTGGGCTCCCCATATGTGCATATCATTATCGTGGTACGTCTTTCTGTTGATATCTGTCAATGAGCGCCTGTGTGCGAGGGCGAACCGCTCGCTCGAGACATTCCCACAGTCTGCAAGCATGAGTGCGACCAATAGCAAATCTGGCTACTCGAGTTGTCCACGTCCTCCTCCTCCTCCTCCTCCTCCTCCTCATCATCATCATCATCATCATCATCATCATCATCATCATCATCATCATCATTATCCCCTTCCTGCTTCTGCTCCTACCGTGTTCATGCTGTCCTCCTTCTCCTCCTCCTCCTCCTCCTCCTCGTCCTCTTCCTCCTCCTCGCTTCCTCCTTCTCTTCCTCCTCCTCCTCCTCCTCCTCCTCTTCCTCCTCCTCCTCCTACTCCTCCTCCTTGGGAGTGCTGAAACCAGCAAATCGCCTGAGACATCCTCCCAAAACTGCTCCGAAAACGACAGATGCCCAGCATCATAACGGCCAAACCGCCTGAGACATCCCCGCAAACTGGGCGCGAACGTCCTCCAAATCTGCTCCGAAAGCGAAACATGTTGAAGAGAAAATGGCCAAACCGCCTGAGACATCCCCACAACATTCCGCGAACGAGACCCCATGATAACGCCCCCGCCGCTCCCCTTAGAGTGCTGAGACGAGCGAATCGCCTGAGACATCCTCCAAATCTGCCCCGAAAACGAAACATGCTGGAGCAGAAAATTGCCAAACCGCCTGGGACATCCCCACAAAATTCCGCGAACGGGACCCCGTGATAACGCCCCCCTCCGCCCCCCTTAGGAGTGCTGAAGCCACAGAATCGCCTGAGACATCCTCAACATCAGTGTGTGTGAGTCATCTGATGAGTGGACCGAGTCTGAGCGGTGAGTTGTTCTCGGGGCCGTCTACATGATGACTGAGTCTGAGTGATGACTGCGTCTCAGTGATGAGTGCGTCTGAGTGATGACTGAGTCTGAGTGAAACTGAGCATGAGGGAGTCTGAGTGGTGAGTGAGTCTGAGTGATGAGTGAGTCTGAGTGATGATGAGTGAGTCTGAGTGACGAGTGAGTCTGAGTGACGAGTGAGTCTGAGTGATTGATGAGTGAGCCTGGGTGATGAGTGAATCTTAGTGATGAGTGAGTCTGGATGATGAGTGAGTCTGAGTGATTGAATGAGTCTGCGTGATGAGTGAGTCTGAGTGATGAGGAGGGAGGAGGAGGTGAGAGTGAGTTCCTCCGGCGCGGTCCGCCAATAACAAGAACCCCATCTTAGGATAAGGGGAATAACCCCATCTTAGGATATGGGGGAATAACTTTCGAAGAATTATGAAGGGGCCCTGGAACACAGAAATACATAGACACAAATAACAGGATTCCCCATCCGTTCCCATACTTTCTGGGTTTTTGTCTTCCCCCCCACTTCCCATATTTTCCCATATTTGCTGGGGAATTAATGGAACGCTGACCTAAGGAACGATACAGAAGGAACGCCCCTCGTCCTACAGTCGGGGCGTTGACTTAAGGAACGCTATATAAGGAACGAGGCCCATTTTTCCCCATAAGTTAAGCTCCGACTTTCCATGGAAAACCTAAGGACAACCCAAGGAGCACTGTAAAACAACTAAGGAGCACGGAGCCCCGCCCAAACGAAAAGGGTTCCTTCTTCAGCGGCCCGACTGTACGCCGCACACCCTGCAGAAACCGAAGGCAACCGCCCCGTTGCAAACAAAGGCCGCGAGGGCGCGCGCCACCTCTGCGAAGGGGGCTCCGCCGCGGTCCCATCGCGGCTTCCGCGCAGGGGCCACGCCCGCCGCGGCGCGACGATCAACAAAAGGTCCCACGCGAGATGGCACGGCGGAGGGGCTGCCCGGGCCCCGGGTGGCCCCGCCCCGCCACGCGGTGTGCTGCCAATGACGCTCGCGGAGGCAGCTGCCCGCCACAGGCGCAGTCCTGCACTCCCCTTGTGCGGGTCGTGTGCGGCGGTTCCCCCCCCCCCATCCACCCCGCACGCGCCTGACTGAGCTGGGCACGGCGCCGCCGAGGCGCTTGACCGCTCGCTCTGCGCGCGCGTCGCCAAAAAAAAGGGTGAGGGG